ATTTCCCCTCTAATTTATTAACTCATTGGTTGTTCAGGAGCATGTTCTTTAGTTTCTATGTATTTGTAGTTTTTGAAGTTATTCCATTTACTAATTCTAGTTTTCTATCTTTCTAGTCAGAAAAGGTACTTGAAATTATTTAAATCTTCTAATTGTTAAGGCTTAGCTTTGTGACTTGACATAATCTATCACGGAGAATGTTCCATATGTTGTTGAGACAAATGTATATTGGCTACCTGTTGTGGGGAATGTTCTGTAAATGTCTGTTAGGTCTATTTGGTCTAGAGTGCAGTTAAAATCTGCTAATTTTTTGTTGATTTTTGTCTAGATGATCTATCTGTCCATTGCTGTAAGTAGGGTGTTGAAGCCTCCTTCTATTATTGAATTGTAGTTTATGTCTCCCCTTAGATGTACAACATTTGCTTTAATGTGTATATATATATATATTTACAATTCTTCTATCCACTTTCTAAATTCACCCCTTTATAATTATATAATTACCAACTTTGTCTCTTTTTACAATTTTTGCATGAAAGTCTATTTTATATGACATTAGTATAGCTGATCCTACTCCCTTTTGGTTTCCATTTGGATAGAATATCACTTTGCATCTCTTCATTTTTATTCTCTGTGTTATTCAATCTGTCAACCTTTTCTTTTCTTTTGTAATACTGCGGATTGAACCCAGGATGCTCTAGCACTGAGCTATATCCCCAAACTTTTTATTTTTTTATTGTGAGACAGAGTCTCAGTAAGTTGTCCAGACTGGCCTTCAACTTCAGATCCTCCAGCTTTGGCCTCCCAAAGAGCTGGGATTACAAGCATGTGCTGCTGTGCCTACCTAATCTTTTCTTTCCACACACATATAGATTTTGAATCAAAGAAAGTCATAGGTGAGGTGAGTCTCTTGAAGGCAGCATACAGTTGAGTTTCGTTTTTTTCAATCCATTCAGCCACTCTATGTCCTTTAATTAGAGAATTTAATCCATTTATATTCAAGGTAATTATTGATAGGTAAGGGCTTACTATGGCATATTGTTATGTTTTGTAGTTGTTTGGTAAGTCCTGTCTTCCTCTCTTACTGTCTTCCTCTGTAGTTAAGTGATTTTTTCTCCAGTATTATGTTTTTATTCCTTGCTTTTTTCAATTATAGGTTTTTGTTTTGTAGTTACCGTGAGGTTTACCAAGAATACTCTGTAATTATATATTTATATTAAGTAAATAAAAACTTATGTTTGATAACATAAAACCAAAAAAAATCTTTATACTTTAACTCCTTTCCTCGACATAATTTAAATTTATTATGTCATAATTACATAATTTTATAATGTATATAACTATTAGTTACTACTATTTTATTAGTTTTGTCTTTTACCCTTTTATATCCCACCATTCATTACTTTAGAGCACTCTGCATTTGCTTCCATACTTATTATTTGATGGTGAGTTATATACCTTCAGATAATTTCATGTTACTCATTGATATTCTTTTATGTCAGCTTGGAAAACCCTTTCAGCATTTCTTGCAAAGTGGGCCTAGAAGTGATAAATTCCTCAGCTTTTATTTGTCTGGAAGTCTTTCTCTCTCCTTCATTTCTTTCTTTTTTAAAAAAAATATATATTTAGTTGTAGATGGACACAATACCTTTATTTTATTTATTATTTTTTTATGTGGTAATGAGGATTAAACCCAGTGCTTCACACGTGCTAGGCAATTGCTCTACCATTGAGCTACAACCCTAGCCCTCTCCTTCATTTCTTAAGGACAGGTTTGCTGGGTACAATATTCTTGGCAGGTTTTTTTCTTTTAGTACTTTGAATATATTATTCTACTTTCTTCCAGCCTATATGGGTTCAACTGAGAATTCTGAAGCTAGGTGTGTTGAGAGTCCTTTTTATGTTATTTGCTTTTTTTTTCTCTTGCTGCTTTCAGGATCCTTCTTTGGCTTTGACCTTTAATAATATTATTATAATGATTCTTGGTGAATTCTTATTTGGATTTAACCTGATTAGTGACTTTTCACTTTCCTGTACTGGAAAGACATATCCTTCATCAGTTTTGAGAATTTTATGCTATCATTTCTTTAAATAAACTTTCTATCCCTTTATTTTTCTCTATTGCTTTTTAAATCCAATGACCCATATATTTACTCTTGATGTTATTCCATTAAATCCCTTTAGATTTCTTCCTTCCTTTTTATTGTTTTCTACTCTGACTGTATATACTCTAATAACCTGTCCTTCGGTCCACAGATTCTTTCTTCTGCTTGATGAGTCATCCTGATGAAGTGCTCTGTTATATTTTTCATTTCATTCATTGTATTTTTCAAATCCAGGATGTGTTTGAATTTTTAAAATACTATTTCAATCTCTGTTAAACTTCTCTGATAAATTTCTGAATTATTTCTGTGTTTTCATGAAGTCTATTGAACTTTGTTGTAGTAAGCTCTTTTGAATTCTTTGTTTGACAGGTTGCATATCTCAATCTTACTAGGGTCAGTCACTGGAACCTTATTCTATTTGATGAGTAATATTCTCCTGCTTGTTTTTAATGCTTTTGAATGTTTCCAAACTGAAGAATTGAGGGTTTACTCCAATCTTCATAGTCTGGCTTTGTCATCATCCTTTTTCACTAAATCTGTCGATAAGTTCTAGGCATTCTGATTTGGATTCTGTAAGCCTGTGACTGATGAAGTCATTTTAGCACTAGAGAGTGCCTTAAGACCCGATTTGCCATGAACCTTATGAGGGCTCTAAGGCTGGTGTAGAGCCTAGTCACCTATGTCTATGGAAGAACCAAAGAGTTACCTAGGATATATGGAAAACCTTGCCAGGGACTAAAGCCCAGAAAACCTTCCAATTCCTCACACAGGTGTGACAGATGCTCAACTATGGCAATAGGGGCTTGAGCTAAAATTGGACCAATCAAGATTTGCTGTGGGACAGAGGATGGTAAGCCCATCCTAAAGGAGCACATAGGCATGCATCTCCCAGCAGTTCCTAACAGAGACAAGCTATTTTTCTGACTGCAATGAGAGAGACCAGAGCGAAGAGCAGGCTATCTCAGTATCTGTTGTGAGATGGAGGCTAGCAAGCATGTCACAGAGGTTCTGACAGATGGGTAGTTGATGGACTGTTAAAGATGGGCAAGTCTCCCTCTATGTCCTTGTGTGAGTAGTCCTAAGTTAGGACCACAATTGAGGGGAATTGGAGCCAAGCAACAGGGTAGCTTTTAGATCTGCTGCCAAAACCAATGTCAGCAGGTAACTGAACCTCTCTGCTAAGGCACTAGAAATTTATGGTTCTTCCTGGATCCCTTGGCAGATGGTATTGATTGTGGGCCCAAGGATTAAATAAATCAAGCCTTTAGGGGAACAGGGCTCTTTCTAGGTTTGAACTCAGGAGCAATATTAGTATATCTGCTGCCTGGATTTGGGTCTGCATTCTCAAAAGACTCTCTACCAGGATCCCATTCAAGTCTCCTACTTAAATCCTGAGTCTTTTATAAAGGAACTTTTGTCTGTGGGAGGATGCAGACTTCTTGGTGTTATAGGAGATGGAAGTGGGCAACCTTTTTCATTCTATCATTCTGCAGGTCTACCTTTTAAATTTTTTATTCATTTATTTGTTTGAGGCTATTTAATTCAATTAGGAGGAATATGTTATGGTTTTCTTCTGTTTCACAGTTAGTTGTGGAAAGAACTTACATTGGCCAAAATATTTTGATTCTGTTTTCCTTTTAGAGTATAATTTTGTATGATAATTAATTTTTTTTTCTGTCCATTTTATGTACAGAGTAAAGGTTTGGTGTGACTTACAAGTTTTTTAGTTTAAGACAGCTCCCTTTGGTCAGACTACTGAAGTTTTTAATATTCTGATCTGATTGTATTTTATAAACATTCTTAAAACAACCCAGGATACAAAGTTAAGGCCTAAGTTCACAGGTGTCTTCTTTTTGAGATAATTCAAGTTCCTTTCTTAAAACTCCATGTATATGAATAACAGATTCTGAAGTCTCACAAATTCTATGATTAATTATGGTGGAATCTCACACGATATACTAGTTTATAATTGTGATAACTGGAAGTCCTTTCTGTCCTTGTATAAATAATACCCCAAGTGAGCTATAACAAAAGAAATTGTGTTTAGCATTATATAAAACAAATGTTTAGAGTGTTAAATTTAAAAAATAAACTAGAATCCACTTCCTTCCTGGTTTTGGGTTTTTTTTCCCTTTATTATGATGATGCAAGAACATGACACTTTAGGCCCTGGTAAAGCTGATTCATCCATCCATTCACCACTTACTGAGGACCATGGGGGTACAAAGATGACTAAAACATAGTCCCTCCCTCACAGTCAAGTGGATAAATTGCAAAAGGTTAGATAAAGTAAGGCATTATTTATTAATTTGATGGTGAGTTAAAAGTACATATAATATGGTATGAAACTATGCAAAACCATATTATATGTACTTTTAAAAATATTACATATATTTTAAGAGTACATATGTGTGCATATATACATAAAAGCATCTAAGAAAGTTATAAGAATCGAAAAAATGTCACAAGGATCAAATTCAGGATAAAGGTTAGCTCTTGGGGGAGGGTTTAGGAAGCTAGGGGGGAATCAGGCCGAAATACAAAGGAAGTTTCAATTTTATCTGCACTAGTATAGTCCCTTGAAGTAGGGAAAAGTTAAGATCTGAAACAAATATTCTAAACTGTTATGATCTGACAAAGCTGGGTGGTAAGAGATATGTTTATGTTAATTATATTACCTCTATTTTCTGTATACTTAAAATATTTTATAATTTTTAAAAAAAGTTCATTCAGTGTGTAGTTCAATTCATTGGCAAGGTTTATGGAGTTTTAATTTTGAAGTTTCAGGATATGTTGTGTAATAACACAATATTGAAAACTACTTTTAGAAATGAAAAAGGAAAATAGTTCACCAATACATTATATATCATTTTTTTTCAGATGAAATGTTATACATACCTGTGAGTGCTAAATAAGAACCAATGTACCGCTTTTCCAGTCCATCTCTAATACTCTGAATTGCACCCAAAATTGGAGGTATGATCATAATTAGGTTACTCACTGTATTCCCTAGAGGAGAAAAATACAAGAAGATATTTAGATTAATCAATAATACTTTTTAAAAAGACATTATCAATTGGTCCTTAACAACAATTAAATGGGTAACTTCTCAAAAAGACAGTGGAAAGGTTATTTTCAAGATGCCAAAAAATAATAATTTTTACTCAACAAAAATTTCTTATAAGAATTCAAGTAAAACAAAGACACTTTCTGACAAATGAAACTAGGAATTTTCCACAGCATATCCACTAATGAAAATTCTAAATTCTAAAAGCAGGCAAGAAAAGGACCTCAGAAAGAAAAGAGATACAACAATAAATGAGTTAGAGAAGGCAGTCTGCATCCATGCTGCTGAAAGGGTAGTTCATGAAAATATACAGAACTGAGTTAATTTTGTATATGGAATTGAAAAGCAACAAACTGGAGTCTACATTTTTCATGTCTTTTTAAAATTTCATTTTTCTAGTAATGCTTTTAGTTTTGAGTAAAACATAAAAGGCAATGAACCTTATCTGATTTTTACTTTCTTCTTTATAAAACAAAGTTCAAACACAAATAACAAAGGAAAAATATAAACCTCAATAGTGGAAATAAGTAAGTAAAATGGGAAAAGAAATGGCTAAAGGATATTTTATAAATTTGATTGTGGGTAGAATAAAGTGCCACAATATCTTCAAAAACCAAATTTTTTCAACATAGGTTCTAATATCAAGACAAATTAACAATTGAGAGAATAATAAAAACATTTTTTTAAATAATCAAGAATCAAAAAATTATACTTGCAAAGATGACATGAGATCTAAGAAACAGGCGCTGCAACCAAGGAGAAAGTAAAGGCAAGGCCCAAGATTACTGCTGTACAAAAGAAACTAGACCACCCAGTCCAGGTCAAAGTAGGAGAACTAAGAACTGCAGTAAATTTATAGGAAGAAAAAATTTTAAAAAAATAACCAATTTTATATGTTAACGTTTGGAAAAAAAATGTCAATGGGCACTAGATAGAAGTGTTGGAAAATCTGTACTATAGTTTCATGAAACAAGCCTTTATTGCTGTATATTTAGTTTATTTCTCGAATTCTTACCATTACATGCAAGACTGTAATGAATAACCATATACTGTTAGTCCTTCATATCCATGAACTCTGCATTGGTAGATGAACCAACCAGGGATTGAAAATATTTTTAAACATTTGTGTCTGGAACTCTAAATAGGGCAAAGGGGAGGGACGGGAAGGGAGAGAAGCAAGGAATGTAAAAAAGATGGTGGAATGAGATGGACATCATTACCCTAAGTTCATGTATAAAGACACAAATGGTGTGAATTACTTTGTATACAACCAGAGATATGAAAATTTATGTTCTATATGTGTAATATGAATTATTATGCATTCTGCTGTCATATATAATAAATGAGAATACCAAATTTGTGTTTGTTCTAAACATGTACAGACTTTTTTTCTTGTCATTATTCCCTAAATGATACACTATAACAACTATTTACATAGCATTTACATTATATTAGGTATTATAAGTAGCAGATGATTTAAATATGTGGGATTATATTATCATAGATTACATGCATATACCATGCCATTTTAAATAAGGTACTTGAACATCTGCAAATTTTGTTATCCACTGGGGGATGATCTTAGAACCAATGTCCCTAAATATCAAAAACACTACTGTGTATGTATGTGTGAGTGTGTGTGTGTATGTAAACATGTATAGTTTCATCTATAAAACAGACTCTCAAAAATGAGAATTCCAAGTCAAAGAGTAAATCAATCTATTAACCAAAAAAGTATTAAAAGAATATATAGATGCATTATCCTCTCTCTCATGCATGAGCATAGGGAGCATTTTATATGCTTAAGGACTATTTCCTTTCCTATGGACTGAACATGCCTGTCATTTGCCATTTTCTTTACTGGTCTTTCCTTTTTCTATAAGAAGGAGCCCTTATTGTAAATAGAATATTAGCCTACATTACAAATTGCAAACTCTTTTTTTTAACTTATGACATCTTTTGCTACAAACAATTTTTTAATTGTTCTATGCAATAGAATTTATTAATCTCTTCTTTTACTGCTTTTAGATTTTTGAGTTAGTTTTAGAAAGGCCTTTCTACTATAAGATTATAGAGAAATTTGCCCATATTTTCTTCTACTGTTTTTTTATCATTTCACATCTTTAAATATTTAAATTTTAAATGTTTTGCTCATGTGCTGTATGAATATCACTCAACTTTATCTTTTTCCAATGACTACACAGTTGTGCCAACATGATGCAATTATTAACTATAAAGAATAATGCCTACATATGTTACCAAGAATGTTACCAATGTGCACTATTTGACTCAGTAGCAAATATTATTTACATAGCCACACTGATATTATTGATATTACACCCTAACTACTTATGTAATAAAAATGTTAAGCTCTGATTTTTTTTGCTTTTACTTTTATTTTCTAATTAGTTATACATGACAGTAGAATGCATTTTGACACACTGAAAACAAATGGAGTACAGCTTCTCCTTCCTCTGGCTAAACATGGTGTAGAGTCATATTGGTAGTGTAATCATACAGTATATAGGCTGATAATGTCCGTCTCATTCCGCGGTCTTTTCCATCCCCACAATCCTTCCCCTTACTCCCCTCTGCACAATCCAATGTTCCTTTGTTCTTCCTCCCCACTCACCCCCCATTATGGATTAGCATCCACTTATCAGAGAAAACATTCAGGCTTTAGTTTTTCGGGTTTGGCTTATTTCGTTTAGCATGATTCTCCAGCTTCATCCAAATGGCAAATGCCATAATTTCATTCTTCTTTAAGGATGAGGAATATTCCATTGTGTATATGTACCACATTTTCTTATCCATTCATGTATTGAAGGGCATCTAAGTTGGTTCCATAGTTTAGCTATTGTGAGTTGAGCTACTATAAACACTGATGTGGCTGCATCACTGTAGCATGCTGGTTTTACATCCTCTGGATATAAATCATGGAGCAGGATAACTGTGTCAAATGATGGTTCCATTCCAAGTTTTCTGAGGAATCTCCATACTGCTTCTCAGAGTGGTTGCATCAATTTGCAGTCCCAACTTTTTCTCCACATCCTTGCCAACACTTATTGTTGCTTGTATTCTTGATAATTGCCATTTCTGACTGGAGTGAGATGAAATCTTAGAGTAGTTTTGATTTGCATTTCTCTAATTGCTAGAGATGTTGAACATTTTTTCATATGTCTGTTGATCAATGGTATTTCTTCTGTGAAGTGTCTGTTTAGTTCCTTCGCCCATTTATTGATTGGGTTATTTGGTTTTTTGATGTTAAGTTTTTTGAGTTCTTTATATACCCTGGAGATTACCACATGCACCTCAGATAGAGTTCCTCCCATTCTGTAGGCTCTCTCTTCATGTTATTGATTGTTTCTTTGCTAAGAAGCTTTTTAGTTTAATCCATCCCATTTATTGATTTTTGATTTTACTTCTTAAGGTTAAGCTCTGATTTTAATGAGAAAATGTAGTGGGGTAAAGTAGATGGTATAAGAAAGCTAAATCCATGGACTGGGGATATGGCTCAAGTAGTAGTGCGCTCACCTGGCATGCGTGAGGCACTGGATTCGATCCTCAGCACCACATAAAAATAAAATAAAGATATTGTGTCCACCTAAAGCTAAAAAATAAATATAAAAAAAAGAAAGCTAAATCCCCAACCACCATAACTGGAAGACAAGAGACAATATCATTTTTTATTGATTCTTTTTAGTTGTACATGACAGTAGAATCAGTTCTGATAAAATTATACATGAATATTTATATATTATTCTAATTAGGACACCATTCTGTGGATGTACACAATGGTGGGATTCGATTAGGTTTTTTCATATATGTAATTAGGAAAATTATGTCACATCTTTTGTGTTTTCACATCTTCAAATATTTAAATTTTAAATATTTTTGCTCAATGCTTTATGAATATCACTCAACTTTATCTTTTTCCAGTGACACTACAGTTGTAACAAGATGCAATTATTAACTATGAATAATAACAAAAATGCAATACAAAGATAAAAATCACAGTGTCTAGTATTCATTCCACTGTCTTTCCTATTCCTAGCTGGCCTCCCCTTCCCTTCATTCCCTGTTGTCTAATGTACTAATGTTTTCTTCTCCGCCCCTTATTGTGGTTTATTTTTCATGTATCAATGAAAACATTCGACCTTCAATTTTGGGAAACTGGCTTATTTCACTTAGCATGATAGTATCCAGATTCATCCATTTACTATTAAATGAACAGACAAAATCTTAAATTTACAGATCCAGAAATAGAATAAGCAAGTTTTTAGAAATGTGAAGCCAAAATTCTAGGGGAAAAAATGTGTTAAAAGATTATTGCTAGGGCTGAGGATGTGGCTCAAGTGGTAGCACGCTCGCCTGTCATGCGCGAGGCACTGGGTTCGATCCTCAGCACCACATAAAAATAAAATAAAGATATTGTGTCCACCTAAAACTAAAAAATAAATATTAAAAAAATATTATTGCTAGACTTCCATTTCCACATAAGATAAAGAAATAAGAACTAGATATATCCTCTCACATAAAATAACAACAAAAAGGACAAAATATATGAAACACATCAAGCATTGAAAGCAACAATTCCTGAGAAACAAGAAACAAATGGTGAAATTTATGACTGTCCTAGCCCACTGCCTAGAGTATTCAGGTTGTAGCATAGGGAGGAATACCCAAGGGGAGCCTGGCATACTCCCAGAGTTGAGGAAACAGAGCTAAGAGTTCAGGAAGATCAAGGCGACTATGAGAGTAGGTGAGAGAGAGGTTGACGGAGAAACAACTCTAAGATCTATAAAGGCACCCCTTACTATTCAGCAGAAGACTGATCTGCATACACATATGAGGAAACTACCTCAAAGCCAGTAAAGAAGAATCTGAAAAGACTGGAGGAACAGTATGTGGTACTCAGTATCTGTTGAGAAACAGTATCTGT